AAAATATATGATATTTATATTCAAAATATTCCTGGTCTTACAAGGAATCCAGCAATGTCAATTATATTATCCTAACTTAAGTGTTTAATTTTCTTTGTTTAAAGGACTGTACAGGTAGTCATTTTCTGTTAAACTTTTACAGCAAATATAACCATCAGTTTTCCGGCATTTTCGAAAATCCGGCACTCCTCAGGTCCTGAGGTTGCCGGATTTTTGATAGTCAACCTGTAATATTTATTTATATTCCACCCATCATTTGCTTAATAAATATTTGTGATAATATGCAATATTATATAATTATATACTTGTTAAAAAGAGTGGAGTGAAAAAGTTATCAGTATTGTAAAATAGTATTCAGACTTAATCTAGGTGACTGTTCCAATTCTTCCAAGTTCCAGTGTTTAAACACCCCACCACAATATGCAAGCTTCATATATTTTGGAGTGTGCTCAGTTACCGTTAATATTGTGTGCTGAACATCACGAGCATTTCAATGATGGTAGCAATTGTAACTATATAATTATATTGTGTTATAAGACAACACATTCCATGACATGTCATACAGATCATTGTATACCACACAATACATAATTTGTGGCTGTTAAGTTACTTTGTTATGAATTTTCATGCGATATAGTTTAAGACATCATTAAGGACATGGATTTAAGATAACACTGTAGGTGAGTTAATATATATTAATTGTATTTACAAACAATACTAAAATCCAAACAATACACCAATACACACATCTTAGTATTTGGTCCAGCCACCCATTGCATTCAAGACTTCATCAAGGCGATTAGGGATGGAATCGACCAGCTTCAGACACACCCCTGGTCGTTGACGTATACTCTCCCACATGTCGTAAGCTTTGGCCTCTATTGCTGCACAGGTTCGCTGCTCCCCAATATCCCAATCACGTTTCATTTTGGCCCAAATATGTTCAATCGGATTAATATCACATCCTAGTGTTGGCCAGTCGATGACCTCAATTTCAGGGTGATCCTGGAGGTAGTCCTTCACTATGTTGCTGGTATGAATGGGACTGTTGTCATGAACCAGCCTGATAGTGTGGGGGGCTGGAACTGCCATAGCCCGGTCTGTAGAAATTAGCACTTGCTCCAGGATGTCTACATACTGCTCACCAGTGAAACGGCCATTGATCTTGACCAGTTCACTTGGCCCATGTGCCCACATCCACCCCCAGAATCACACTGACACCCTACCTCTCACTGAGCGATGTTGAATGTGTTTCTCATGGTAGCGTGTGTTGGAGGGCCTCCAGCACTGCCTTGCTTCGGCTCCCACTGACCTGAACACCGTTTCATCGGTAAATATAATGGTTCTCCAGTATTCTTCTCGATGTGGAAGTTGTTCCAATGCAAAGCCGAGTCGATACTCCTTGTGAGTAGGTGTTAGCCACCCTTTGTGAGCTGGAATATGGCAGTCGATCCCGGCTTCATGAAGTCGGTGTCTCGTCGTCATGTGATGGCAGTTGAGGCCCAGATTTCTTGTATGCTCCACTGATGTTCGCATTGGTTATGGTGTTGCAGCTGCCACGATCATGGCGTCCATCCTTGCCGACGTTACTCTTGGCCTCCCGCTTCGAGGTTTCGTCTCCACTGAGCCCTCTTCCTCCCACCGGCGGATCCACCTCCTAATCGTCTTGGTGCTCCTCCCCACTTCGAGAGCAATGTTCGGCACAGTTGCCCCGGCTCTCCACATCCCGATGATTTGGCCTCGCTCAGCAATCACTGCCGACGAATTTACTCGTCCTGCAGGCATATCTGAAATGGCAGAGTAATATTATGTTGTGGTAACTGATGCAGGCTTTTATATACTAGAGTAAATTAATGATATTAGTAACACCTAGGTTAAGTATTATTACTCTGACATAACATTTGGTAAATTTTTTTGGATCAACTGCCCAAGAAACCCTCCCTATTTCATGTATTCATAGTGAACTGCAAGTGGATCCTCCCCCCCCCCACCCCCAAACCTCCACCACCACCCCTGCGACTGTAGAGTGAACATTCGCCGATAATCATCATCATCATCAAGATTTAGTTTAACCAGACCACTGACACCCATTTGAGTCTCTCCTAGGGCTGGCCAGAGGGATTAGTTAACATATATTTGTGTTTCTATAATTTAGTGTTATATTGTTTGGAGGAGATTATAGTATTTCAAAAAGGTCAAAACTGAACTTAGCGAAAATTTTGGGGTCTCTGCTAAAATATCTTACATTGTAGGGGTAGTGAAGCACATTGTTCGATACTGATTATAAATAGGGCATTCAATGAGAATATGTTGGACTGTTATTTGTGTTCGGCAGTTGGAGCATATACTAGGTGGGGCTCCATTAGGGGAAGACATGAGTTGCCCATGCTTCAATCGCGTATGCCCAATTCTTAGACGATTCAGAATAGTTTCGTGATGTCGAGAGGATTGTTTTGATGATGACTAAGGATAAACTGATGATTTGATCATTTTTAGCTTATGACTTGTTGGTTCATTTTCCCAGGACTTTTGCCAATCGTCAAATATTAATTGTTTATAGGTAGTTAGCCTCGCCGATAATCAAAATATATGGTTTTCCACTGCTTTACATATTTCTTTGACAATTTTCAGCTATGACATACTTATCTCCTATAAATAATTCATTTAAAGTTTATTTTTTTACAAAGAATATTCACTGGTTCCAGAATGTATCTAAACTCACGCCAGTGATGGTTAAGTCTGTTCTTAAATAAGTTCATACTCAGTGGCGTAGCTAGAGAGGTTGTTCACCAGGCTGACCTTGAGTTGCCCCCATGACCCTACAAAAAATACATATTGCACAGTGACTCAATCTTTTTTATATATATATATATATATATATATATATATATATATATATATATATATATATATATATATTAAATAGTTTGCCTTACTGTTGTCAGACAAAAGCCACCCCGATCAAAGTAGGGGCTTTTGTCTGGAGTAACTTTCGTCTGGGGGGCTTTTGTCTGGGTGGCTTTTGTCGGGGGCTTTGTCTGTACCCAGTGAGGATAGTGTCTTAGTATAAAATCGCAATGCTGTGAAACAAATCTTAATATTTAATATCAGTACCGCCAAAAGTCACATCAATATTTTTTAACCAATACTTTAATATTTCTTACCTTATAGTATTATGTCTTCCAGCAGAAATAAATCGTAAGTGGATCGAAAACACAAAGAGAACTTAAAAATCGTCTAGCCTCCCCTCGTCTTGTCACGATGGAGACTTGTGCAGAACTGAAGTGAATTGCTTGTAACTGGTGGATTGGTCGGCTGTACATGAACTGATATGACCCGAGACTGCATGGTTTTGCAGCTACTGGAAACGTTAATCCTTCCCTTTGTATCGGCGGCAAGTTAATCCTCGTCGTGTCTGACCTAACACCTGACCCACACCACATGAGCTCACTGGCGTACTTGTTTGAAGTTGTTTCCTTAATCCTCAACAGGTTACAGGTTGTGTGTGTGGCGGGGGGCGCATAGCAAGGGTGTAGCTCATGACGTGGCCGTGATGATGTGGGTCAGGTGTTAGGTCAGACACGACAAGGATTAACTTGCCGCCGATACAAAGGGATGGATTAACGTCTCCAGTAGCTGCAGATATGGGTGATGAGCAGACCCAAAAGTGCCGGGGCAGGGCAGCCCCCTTCATCGCTGGTGTTCATACTTGGTGCTATCACAACACTAAATACAAGGGGGAGGAGCCATGTCATCGATTCTGTGAGTGTTCATCACAGTAGTCCAATTCATCGCCATGGGTAGAATAGCGGGAGGGGGGTTGGGGAATGCAGGGGAAGGTAATGTGATGGGATGGAATGTTCGATTGACGTTAGTCTTGGGGGAGGGATGAAGGGAAGAGGTGGGGGAGGGAGGAGTGGAGTGGGGGGATGGTGGAGGGGGAGTGTGGGGAGAGCATAAGTAGTCGATTAGTATTTAGGTGTGGTAACCCACGATGCTCAAATTATGAGGTTTAATAGTTGGGTGGGTAGAGGCGGGGGGGGAGAGGCTAGGAGCGGAGTTGGAACTCGTGAACGTATGATGTTGTTTAATGCAAGTTATGGAACATTACAGTATCTTCAAACGGGTTTTCACGCTATTAATAGGCCTTATGTAATCCACCAATAAGGATTACAACATCACACAGTATGGCTGCAATTGGTAAGAAAAATAAAATATAACATGGCAAAATTTTTGCCCTGCGTAATTTTTACAATCCACCTCACGCCTAAAGTAAACCGAAAAATGCATATGTGTATAGAAGATTTTCAACTCAATATCACATATTCTTTCACCTCTACAAATATCTGCTGTCACTCATGGGACACCCTGCAATAGTATTAGGACGACATGGGCTATGCTGACAAATTAATGTGACTTACCTGTTGGTGACGACGATGGTAGGAATGAGACCTCGGCATGTTTCAGTGTTCGACATCACCTCCTTCCCCTGGTGTGGGTGGCGCCAACCTTGGTAACAGCTTGTGTATTCTCCGTGTACGGAGAATTAATTACTGGTGTGCCCATCAGTCTCACCGTCGTAGCCATGAACAGCAGAGATATGGTCGTTGTAGTGCTTTTATTTACCCGTTACACATCTCTCACCATGCTTAATAATATTAACTATCTTCATGACATTCTTATTGTTATCAGTGATTGCAGAATTCATGATGTTATGCTCCACCTACACAGCCTGTTACTAGACTAACCCCCACCTCCTCTATTACCCCCCCCCCAACACTACAGTGGGTGACATCTGTTGGCCGACCATAGCATTTCCTCCAGCTGTTTCGAAACTTCAGACTCAAGGCTATTCAAACCCTCACTGTGGATGGGTAGTGGACATGACTTTTGTGCACGATAGTGCCTGTAGCAGAAAGTACCTGTATCATATATGTGTGTTATCAGTTAGAAGGATGTGTACTGTATTATGTACCTGTAGCATATGTGTATATTTACAGGTATTACTCTCTCACAAGCTTCCAGTCTCATTCCCCTCAGAAATGCCTCCAAATATCCGTCAAGTTCCAGGTGTTGTCAAGGCCACACAGGAGGGATTTGAATTTGCGGATGGATCTTGGGCTCAGGCAAACTCCATATTATATTGTACTGGTAAATATTTTAGTTTAATTTATTGATTTCGTTTGTTGTTTAGGGTGATATAGTCAATATTGTTTTTGGTCAAAATTTGTTTTTATCCCAATTTCCCCAATTGGTATGAGATCTTATTTTTCTAGTGTATTTTGGTATACAGTCATGCGCCAGTTAACGTCCGACCGAACAACGTCCGATCGCATACATCCGTCCCCTTCCCCCCCCTAAATATCCGTGACGCCTGCTGGACCACCACTCCACGACCCCCTAACGGAGACATGATGATCCTCCCCATACTGGTCAGATATTATGTGTTAAAGGAATATGCTTCCTATCTTAGGCTATTTTTAAACATTTGCCTACAGGTGTAATGTTAACCTACATCTATTGAGGATAAAATCTTTCACTTACAAATTGACAATAACACATTTGCTGTAATCAGACATATCTAGTTGCCTCAACAATTGCAACCCCAGTTGCAATTGGGGTTGCAATTTCAAATTCTGTGGCATTACTAAGTATATTGAAGTCTCTGGTGCACTCTAAGATTAAGAGAGAAAACGGAGGACTCAGGCGTCCTGATGTGAGAGAAATATGATGGGGGACCAAATAAAAAAAGCATAGCTACATGTTTTGTGGACTACAGTATTAAGCGTACCCTTTTCATCACTTTGTAATAAACCTAGCCATGCCTATGCATGTTTATGATATTTACCATAACATTATATATATATTTAGTGGGTAGAAATGGTCGTAAAATGGGAAACTTGGGGTTGGGTCTTGGGTGCCTGGAACCAATTAGAATAAATCCCATAGGTTCTGTACTTTCGTTATCGGCGGGGGTCCCAATTAGGCGCTATAACCAAGGGATGACTGTACTGTACTGTATATACCTGTGACACTGGCCAGTTGCTTCTGGTGTTATGGTACAGGGTACACTGGATCTATATAAAGAATAATTAAATTTTAAACGAAAAATAATGAACCTAAATGGCTGGCGAACAGTCAACGTGTGCATCGGCGTATTCTTATAGATTATTGTTAACACTTGGTAAATGCGTTATCTAGTGAATTTCGTCAATATTGCAGTAACAATGGACCTAAGTGCAAGCCTGTATTACATACTAAATAATTCCATTACCCTAAATTATTAATAATCTATTGCATCTAAGCTTGTTTATACAGGTATTCCAAAATAAATTACTATCTTACAAAAGTCCACTCCAATGTAAGTTATATTCACCAGGTCATTTGGGTAGCAAATTATGAAAACTTAGTATTTAAGTAATGATAAATAAACATGCAGGCCTTAAGCGCCAACTTCTTAAATCTTATCTCAATAAATAAACAAAAGACAGACATTCTGTCACTTCACCCCCTCCTTCCCTCTTCCCACCCTCCTTGTGTTTGAACAAAAGATTGATTTCTTTATGTTTATTTTATATAATATCTCAGACTAAAGTTAGGATAATATAATTTACTTTTTTGCTAAATCTTGCAAGACAAAAGATTAATAATTTGAATCTAAGCATCATATATTCTTAACAATTATAAATGTAGTACATTAGTGTACAATACTGTAGTACATTTTATAAAAAGTATTTCAACTGTATTTTTGGGTAGATTTACATAAATTTCTTCATTTATTTTCATCCATTTACATGCACACACCATACTAAAAGAAATGTAAAAGAAATAAATGACCTTAGTGCAAAGCTGGAGTGCACATGTACTAATTTGATTACGGTACTAAAATTGTTATGTCTAGTGCAAATTACAACATGTTTATATTCAAATATATCAGTATCTTACAAGCATCCCAGCTATGTTAATTATATTCTCCTAGGTCATATCACTGGCATTTTAAAATGAGAGAAGCTTAGTAGGACTGTTAAATAAACTCACAGAGACCTTCGGCTCAAACTTATCACCTCAACCCCCCAGCCCTCGCTGGCTCCGTCCCTCCCTCCCTAATCTGCTCAGCAGGGGTTTATTTAGGCTCACAGTTTTTATCTTGTATAAAATCTCAGACTAAAGTTAGGAGATTATAATTTGCATTGCTGGAATCCTTGCAAGACAGCCAATAATTTGAATACAAACATCATATATTTTGCTCAAGAGATAAAAATTGTTGTACATTAGTGTACAGTACTGTAGTACATTTATAATATAAATTTTTTCAACTGCATTTTTGGGTAGACTTACATCAATTTCTTCATTTATTTTCATCCATTTGCATGCACACACCATACTAAAAGAAACGTAAAAGAAATAAATGACCTTAGTGCAAAGCTGGAGTGCACATGTACTAATTTGATTACAGTACTAAAATTGTTATGTCTAGTGCAAATTATAGCATGTTTATATTCAAATTAATCAGTATCTTACAAGAATCCCAACAATGTTAATTATATTCACCTAGGTCATGTCACTGGCTTTTTATAAGAGAGAAGCTCAGTCACTTAAGAACTGATAAATATACAGGTACACGTGTTAGACCTTGGGCCGGTGCCAACTGTCAAACATACTACCTCCCCTCCCCCCAAGCTCCCTCCCTCCCTCTCCCCCAACTGCCCAGCATTGCTGGAATCCTTGTAAAACAGTGAATAATTTTAATATAAACGTCATGTATTTTGCACAAGAGATAAAAATTAATCACCTGTATCACATTACAGTAGTGATTTAAGAGTAAAAGTGTATATGCACGTATATAGTATTCCACATACACGTAAGTACAGGTATAAATAAAAAGTTTATGTGATGATTGGACAATGTCCATTTCGGTTAACGTCACGTTTCCAGGAACGTATCTAGGACGTTAATCGGCGCATGACTGTATTTTAAATGATGTAATGTAACCTAACCTAACAGAAAAAAGATTGCTAATGATATTGGTAAAAAATCTGAAAAAACTTTTGGGATAAAAGCAAATATTGTATTGACCTTGTTCTCTTTATCAACACCACTCCATTAAATGTGGGTATGAGTAGCTTGTAATGTATTCAAGTAATTGCGATTGACAATAACCTATAGTCCCTCATAATGTACGAGTGTGTGTGTGTAATAATAATAATAATAATAACAATAAAATAATAATAATAATAATAATTAACGGTTTATTGAAAGAGCATGGCAGCCGGAAGGCTGAAAATATACATTTACATAATTGGGCAATGGGTCTCTTGATTGTGTGTGTGTGTGTTTGTAATAATAATAATAATAATAATAATAATAATTAACGGTTCATTGAAAAAGTTCTGCAGCCCGAAGGCTGAAAATATACATTAGACAAAAATGACTTATTACATACAAAGACATGGGGTAGGTGGGTCGTTTAACAAAAACTTTCATTACTGAAAGGAGAAGGAACATGAATTGAAAATACAAATTATTATAGTTTACAGTTGATGGGCCGGGCTGGTCTCTTGCCATACTGTGAGAGGTAACGTAGGCCTCGTGGTATAGTGACTCGTCCGAAGGTATTGATGTGAAGGACTTCCTGTGGTCATGGGGACACCGGGTGGTGTGGTGTTCACGTGGTGCGGTAACTCGTCCTCGGGCGTTGATATGAAGGACCTCACATGGTCAGGTAGACACTGGGTGGAGTGATGTTCACGTGGTGCAGTAACTCGTCAGTAGGTGTTAAGATGAAGGACCTCACGTGATCTTGGAAGCACCGAGTGTGTGTGTGAGCGTGCGTGTGTTCGTGAGTGTGTGTGTGCGTGCGTATGTTCGTGTGTGTGTGTGTATGATGGTTTATTAAGATAACAAGGCAGCCAGAAGCCTGAAAATATACAATAAACAGAGATGATAAGTTACATATAGTGAAATTGGGGAGGTGGGTAACTTGATTGACAAAAGCTTTCATTACAAAAATATAAGAAACATAGAGTCAACATATCTAATATACTATAGCGCTATCCGTCTGTTTGTCTGTCTGTCTGTCTGTGCAGCCGAAACGGCACAATCGTTTTTCATCAAACTTGGTGGAAAAATCACAAAAAATTCGTAGAGAGGAACAAACCTGGTCCCTTGTCAATGGTTTCTCTAGGAAGGCATTAGTTAACAATTATATTTACGATGGAAAACGATGCAAGTCTACGGACTTGGCGCACCCTCATTCGCTGTACGCTGTCAGCCCACGATTGAAGTTATCGTACAGCTCCCTCCTCCTCCCCCCCCACTTTTTTTCTTAGCCTTCGTTTTTTTTAATGTTGTTTGGATTAGTAAAGGACGGAAGATGAGTAAATAGAAGAATACAGAAGGGAAAACAGAAAATAGTTCGAGATAACAGGTGGGGGGGGAGCTGAGTTTCATCATGCGTCTGGATGCGCAGTTTCAATGTTACCAGACGACCTTACAGCTACAGTGTATACTTATTCCTGTGGCTGACTGTACATGGAAAAGAGATAATAACAAGAATGCATGTAGAAGATGACTACAATAGACACAGGGTGAATATAGACAGTGAAACAGACAGGAGGTTGACAAAAATAGACAAGTGAAACAGACAGGAGGTTGACAAAAATAGACAGATTCATACATGCACAAATAGACAATATGGCAACTAACATGACAGACAGACAGCTGACTGACTGGTTAGCATTACACAAACAGGCAGACACACGCCAACAACGGATAAGACAGACAGATTTGACGACACAAAGAGTACAGACGGGCTTACATTCAAACACCACTCAGACGAACAGACAGTTGGGATGGCAATAGACAGGACGGATAGACTTGAGACAGATTAGAAGGCATTTATAAACAAGAATAACACCAAATTGACCATAGCTGCGTCAGTGAGGGTAGGAGGTCTTACATCCACCAGCGTAAATAATAAGACGCATTGAAAACTAACACCCTCGCGTGGAAAGAACATCGATGGTCGGTCAGTCATGTGAGATGGGCCTAAAACTGACTGACGTAGATGATGACTATGATGACTTAACACAGGTGATGACTTAAGCAGATGGTGACTAATCTAACCAGAATCAAGGTCACTTCTCTTCATA